TGGACATTAAATGATTAATTCTGTCCAGAGCTGTTAAACCAATGCAGGAGAAAATAGCAATTTCTAACATTTCTGAATAATCTTTCCTTTCAGGGGACCTATTCATATTTTCTCCTTCCCCCACTCTTCTGAGGATAAAGACCCAATAAATACAGTGCCTCTAACAGCTGTCTGGCACAGACTGGTACAGAATGCTTCTGCCTCCACCTTTCTCCCTTCTGTTCTATTCTCCAAGCTGCAGCCAATGCTACCTTCTTTGTCAGTCATGCTGCATGTATCTCACTAGTCCCAGTCATTTTCTTCTGAATCCGCAGCAAGGTTAACATTTCCGCACTCCTGCATGATGCAATCTGGGTTTTCATCTTGGCTCCCCCCCCCCCACACACACTTTTTAAAAATTAAAATGTAGCTTTAATTTTTGCATTTCACGTAGCTCCCTATAGCTGCAACAGCTTCACACCTCCATTTACTAAATATTGTAACTCCTCTCCTTCAAATCTCTGCTACAAGTTTTTAACATGCCATTCCACCAATAACTACTCACCCTTGTGTTTACTTAATCTCACATGCCCTTAATTCAGTCTTCCAACACAATGCATGCCAGCTCAATTGAATCACCAATTCACTTTTATACTAGACTGCATGCTTTGTTTATCAAGTACTCAGCACTCCGACACTGTTATGATTGAGCAAAATAAGGAACCTGAACAATTTAAATACACTAACCTTTAAAGCTTTTATCATTTCCTCTGTCTCTTATTGTCAGTTCCATGTTGCCCCAGGACATATATCCTAGGTACCCCTCTCCCTCCAATATATCTTCTATTCCATTTAATGTTCATCGTTTCCCCTGGTACTATTCTATTCTCTAAATTTATCCCTGCTTTTCTCACTTGCTCCCCTCCTGCTCTTTTGTCTGAAGAGCCCATCTGTCTGTCTCTATAAAAGGGAACACCAGGTTGATACTGATGATACTCGTTTGCTCTTCGTGCACAAAGTCACTGACATCTTTTTCCTATCATTTCTCTACTACAAAGTTCATCGTTTCCCCTGGTACTATTCTATTCTCTAAATTTATCCCTGCTTTTCTCACTTGCTCCCCTCCTGCTCTTTTGTCTGAAGAGCCCATCTGTCTGTCTCTATAAAAGGGAACACCAGGTTGATACTGATGATACTCGTTTGCTCTTCGTGCACAAAGTCACTGACATCTTTTTCCTATCATTTCTCTACTACAAAGTGCCCATTCTCTTCCTCTTTCCCGCTCCCCCCAGCTCCTTAATCACTTGGGTTTTCCAATTCCTTCCATACTGCCCTCTTTCCACAAGCACCCCAATCTTTTCACTGCTATTCCTTTCCGGAGCTCCCAAGCTGTTCCCTCTATGCGTTCTTACCATTCTCCCCTTCCCACAACCCGGAGGGTGAAATCAATTGATAACTTAAATCCAGTAAGCGTTGCACTATCATAGAAAGCAAAATTCCTAGAAAAAGGAAGGGAAACTTTTCACAGGGGAAAAACCCAGAGTGTGGAACATTCTCTCAGAATAGAAGAGGAAGTATGTACTCTCCTTAATGGAGAGTGAGAAAATCGGGACAGTGCCTAGGTGCTGGCCCTTACACTTCTAGACAACTAGCTAATAGCACGTGCGTAAGCAGATCCCCATCCTTCTATACAAAAATACTTGATTCTTTCCACACGCCACCTTATGGGTACATCTACATTGCACTAAAAGACCCATGGCATAGCTGTGGCTAGCCCCCTTCAATTGACATTCACGTGACACGTTGTGGAGGTATAAAATTGCTCTGTACATATTCAGGCACAGGCTGGAGCCCAGGTGCTGAGACCATGTGAGATGGTGGTTCAAGTGCTCAGGCTTCAGCCTGAACCCCATGTTTACAAAGCAGTTTTACCACAGCCCAAGCCTGAATTAGAGCTGTGCCAGCTGAGGTTCTTTCATTGCAGTGTAGATGTACCCCTATAGGTCTCTGTACCCCACTTTCATTTGTGTTTCTGTCCTTCCCTAAAGTTCCAATTTTTCAGTTTCTGCCGCCCTCCCTCCAGTACTTAAGGTTTCCTTAACTGTTTGGTCTCTTTCAGCCCAGTTCTCCCCCACATCGACAGACAAAGGCAGCATATAACTCTGGCCATACTAAAACATGCTAGGATCCTTGGCACAGCCCCATAGTTCTGCTTATTGGCCAGGAATCTCAAGTGCGTGTGTGGTAGAGGTGGAGTGGAAAGGGAACATCACTTCTTTCAGGGAAAGGAAGAACAAGAGCCTCTAATGTGTAAAGAAACCAAGCCTAAGTGATGTGGCTGTTGTATTTATTTAAATGGTACCAAAATAAGTAAAATGTTGGGCACAATTGCTATGCTTTAATTTCATCCCAAACTTCTTTTGAATATCCCCTTTCCATCCTGCTCAGACACATAGTAACTTCCATGAGTGGATCCAGTTTCTGAACCCAATGATATTTTTTCCCTAAGATCCTTAAAAAATGTCATTAAAAATTACGCCTGCTCTTTACTATAGTGTTGTCTTAGCTTACTTGTATTACAATGCCTGGACAGTTAATACATAATTACAATTCAACATTTGTCTTTCTTCAGTTGCTATTGCATTCTAGGATTAAAACAGAAATATACTGAATAAACTCCTAATTTATCATAGTCTTAAATTCTTCAATATAGCTTGTTACTGGTTATGCAGTGAAATGTTTGATAGTTTTGCAGCTTTCATTTTAAATACAAAATATACAAGAGGCACAAGAACTACGTAAATCACAATTTTATTTTTCAAATTCAAAAACAACAGTATTTAACATATTACATCAACAGATTTAAAATATCATGCTCTATTTAAATACTTGACTGACAACACTGTATACAAATAAAATGTTACACAAAATATGTTTAAGAAAATGTTTTGGTCTTCAATCTGAACAATAAATAGTCAGGCACTCTCATATATATATATATATTATATATATACACACACACACACATATACATATACATACACACATACATACACACACACACACAAAGAACGTGTCACTACTTGAATAAATTCTTATATAAGCAACATGTGGAAATATGGCAAGAAAAGATTTCTGGAGTTTTGGTACATACGTTAAACCGCCATGACATCATGAAATTTCCAAATCTCAATTTCAGAACTTTAAACTTTTAAGATGTGCACTTTTGTAAATTTATCATTAGTTTATAGAAGAGATCCAATCCATGCTTTCCTGAGTGATATGCAATTACAGACTTCAGTTATCCATATCAAATTAAGCTACCTGATGACTGTTTTTAACACCAACACAGAAAACAAGGACTGGCCAGAGCAGCCTTTTATCTTTTATGTAAATAAAACAACAGGAGAACTTTGATTCTGTAAAGTTTAACAAGACAGAAATCAAGATTCAAGACAGAAAACTGCCTAGTAGCAAAATGTAACAAAAGTTATCCTCGCACCCTTACATAACCATCTCTTAAACTTTATCCCATTTGAAGTTATATTGTGATTTTAGAACGTAACTTTTTTTTTTTTTTTTTTTAAACAGCAGAGATTCAGTATCCTTTCTGATACAGTCAGACATTTTGCACAGCAGATCACATTTAAGTGAGTGAATACTGTTCAGGAGTAGCATGTGATAGAGGAAGAGTTACAAAATTAAAAAGCTTTCAATAATTAGGGTAATTTTTTTTTTTTTTACTTTGTGTAAAAATTAGACTTTCCCAATTTCAAGTGCTATTTCACACAAACATGTTTTCTCAAGGAAAGTCTGTGTGTACAGCTTCTACCACCACAGTTAAAGAAAGATGCACTACCAATGAAAAGTGAATAATCCATTTTTTCAACATTATGGTGACAACTAATCATGAATCAATGAAGGACTTTTAGTTATAACTTCTCAAGTCTATTTTACAATTTGTAGGTGAAATATTGAAACATCATAACTTCTAGAACAGTGGAAAGAGTAGGACTCAGTTCATGCCATACTATCAAAAATTTGCTATTGTAGTATTATTTTTACTTTTATAAGTACTGGACAAATGTTTCTAGCTAATGATTTTAGGAGAATTAACTTTAAAAATCACCAAGTGAAAACAAAGAGTTTTAATGGTTCAGTAAAGAAACTAGACCCAACCTTGAAAAATAAATTGAAGACACTTATGCACATTACTTTAAACATTTAACAATTTAAGTGTGGATCCTGCAAGTGTGTCCAAATCTTAATCATTTCTTGAGGTTTTCGGCTATGTACTAACATTAAGTTTGTGTAGGAGCATATGTTATTTCTGTGTTTCTCTTCAATATCAAATGTTTTGAAGCCTTTGTGTTTTTCCGGAGCAAGCCCAAGTTTCTGAAGGCACATTCCAGTATAAACATCATCAATAGGATAGAGGAGGACCTGGTCAGATGCATTGTTCAGTCTTAATGCCAGATCACCAGAGTACAGAAACCCACCGCCTCCTGCATATGGAGGATAAGAACCTTCATAAACACTTTCAGGAATGTAGTACTTTAATTTTTTTTCTCGATGAGGTCCAGCATCTTTGATCACATCACCTATAAATAAGTCTTTGGCTTTGTCTTTTGATAAACTCTTCAAGTAATCCAGGATCTGATGGGTATTCACAAAAACATCATCATCCCCTTTAAAAATAAACTGGGCATCCGGACATGTGCTGCTGACCCATTTAAGAAACAGCACCTCTTTCAGTGTCAAGTTGAAGAAAGTATCTCTGTAGTTCCAAAGAAGAATGTCTTGGTGAGTTTGACTCTCAAATTTCAACATGTCTGAAAGGTCAGGAAAATTATCTTCTGGAGGGGTCTGTCCCAACAAAAAGACCCTTACAACAGTTACATTCCCTGATTTTATTTCTTTACCCCAAGATTCCCTAATTGCTTGCCTTCTATCAAAATGCGGTATAAGTGACTTAATAGCCAGCAGCAGGAAAGGTTTGTGTTTGCACTTGTTCGGTTGATCCACTAATAATGAATAATTTCTACATCTTAAATAAAACAGGAAGTCTTTAAATCTGTCTGGCAATTTTGCAAAGTCTTTAACCTCTGAAGTTACTGATGGATCAGGTTCACAGGAATTCAGAACAGTAGCATTAGAAATTAAGTTTTCTTCCACAGTCATATTGGAAAGCAAGGTCAAAATGGGGTTGTACAAGAGTTCCAGCTTCTGTTGCTGTCTGTTCCAATAGGCCTTGTGAGGAGTGTATTTCCTCCAGAATTTGCTGCTGGGTAATATAACCTGTCCTTTTGAATTCTTCTCTTGACCACCACTTTTGGAGACTTCCACAATCACATAAATAAAAAAGTTTACCATCATTAGAATTCCCAGCAGCTTTAATCTTCTGCGTCCAACACTCATTTCTCATATCTGAAAAGAAAAATTGTGGTTAGATTTTATTCAGTTTTTTCAAACAGGTTTCTATTTTTATAGGAATACAAGAGATGTACAAAATCAGCAAACCAAGAATTTACATTTACAAACTGAAAATGCAAAATGAAATTGTTACCCTCTAATATACAAGTGCTGTCTTGCAGCTATCGGAGGTTTGTTTCCATTAGAAATAGGAAGTTTGTCAATCAAGAGAACAAACAATGATGAAAAATTTTGAATTTGAATTTCTAAAGCAGAATTGCAAGCGATATCTTTCCAAAAGAGTCACAAGATAAAATTATACAATAATAAAGTTCTGAAAAACCCATTTGCTCTCAGCAGGTGGTAAACCTTCCCTTAGTAATAAGGTGAGCCTAAGGTCTCAAGTTCTGCAGAATACAGTTGGATGGGGTTGGAGTTTTTTTTTTTTTTGGTCTTTTTCTAATTATTTCTCCATCCCTTACAGTTGTGAAATCCTTCCAAATGTGAACTGATGCAAAACTCAGTTTCCGAGTCTACAGTTTGTCACTTTCCATAGCTTTCCCAAGTAGCTGCCAAGTGAAACTGAAAAGCTTGGGCAGTTTCTAAGCTGCTATTCAGGCCTGCATAGGCAATAGCAAACCTTGTTCATAATTCTGAATTTCATTCTCTTGCTAGGAAAGAAAATGAGTTGTAGCAGAAGGTAGCACTAGAGTAATCTGTAAGAGAGAAGAACTACCAAAAAAGAGTCAGACAAGAGAAGCCATATTACAGACCTTATCAATATTGTGAAGGGGATTTTTTTCCCTCTCAAAGACACAGAGCCTACTCCTTCCCTCTTCTGGCAGGACTCTTAAAATAATAGTCTATCACATAATATTGTTTCCAAGCATATACTTTCATCTATTATATAAAATTAAATACATAATTAAGCTTTGAATGTGCTGGCCAGATATTTTATCTAATTTTCTCTACCCATTGCTACCTTCTTCTTGACATACCTGTTAGTATGTCAAATAACACAAAACACCAATTAATAGATTACATCAGGGATTCTCAAACTTTATTGCACCATGACACTCCTTTTGACAACAAAAATTACTACATAACCTCGGGAGCAGGGACCAAACTCTGATCCTGGCTGAGTCCCACCGCCTCAGACGGAAGTATAAGGGGGGAAAAAACAAAGCCTGGTCCCCACAGCCCTTGGGCAGAAGAACAAAAGCCAAAGCCCAAGGGCTTCATCCTTAACTGGGCAGCCTGTAACCTAAGCCCCGATGCTCAGGCCTGAAGCCAGACGTGAGCCTCAAGCAGAGAACACGAGTCTCACCTTTGGCCCTCTGCCCCAACCAGTCTAACTCCAGCCCTAGTGACTCCATTAAAATGAGGTCTGAGGTCATTTTGTAGGGTGGAAAGATGAAACTGCCCGTTTAATGAATTATATCTATCAATGTAACCTAGG